GCGATTAAGGACAGTGGCCGCAGTCGCAGCAAACAGCGCTGGGAAAAAAGGTGGTCAAATTTTCGTTGGCATGTACAGGATGGCTTTCAATGTAGTGCGCCATCAGCGGATCGCCCTTGCGCATTGAGCACACACATCCTGGCGCAGGACAGTCAATCCAGTTCAGAGAAGGAAAGCACTCGGAAGGGCGGCGGAGATCGGGTGGAGTGGAATGGTGCGTTTGAACATGGCGTTGCTCATTGGAATCCGAGACAAGCATGTTGCAGATTGCACAAGACACCGGAGAAGGAGTCGCCATAATGGCTGCACGCAAAGAAAAGAAAGGCAAGGTGAGATGGTTCACGCATCAATAAATGGCAGCGCATGCGAGGAATGAGGAAGGGTGGGGACTCACCGTTGAGGAGAAGGAAAATGCAACGGAAATTGTAACGGAAGAACGAATCTCAACGGTCAAACCATAAGGGATGACACTTGGTACGTGACCGAAGTTGTCTCGATGAACAGGTGAAAAAGTGTCTCCGCTCGGGGGCGCTTGTGCTGACATTTCAGCTGATTTGTCAGCAATTGGCTGGTTCGTAGGGCGGCACAGAATTCGAGAAGAGGGGACTGTGACCTCCCTCCGTATGAGGTTTTGACGGGGGAGGAAGGTGTAGGTGTAAGAAGAGGCGAATCTTGCTGCACGCTTCCACTGCTAAGGTTGTGCTGGCTTATCTAGCTGGACAGGGGTGCAAGAGGTGTGCAACGAGATGCAGGGGCGTTCGGGGCATTGGGTGAGGGGTTCGGCTAGGGGGTGAATGGCACATGCAATGCGTTCGGATCGCAGGTGAGAATTGACGTGGGCCATGGCTTGAGCGCCAGTACAGTCATCGAGGCTTCTTTGGAAGACGGTGCATCTTATGCATTTTACACCTTGGTGGTTCACAGGCACACACGGGCACAAACCTTTTTGGCTTTTTTTCGTTCTTGAGACGTTGAAGGTTCTTCCTCTTGTTAGGCAGCCATGGCCCTTTTGACCTCAACGCGCACGGTCGCCGCTCGGGTGCTGCGCTCTCCAATCCCCACTGTGGGCCGCCGCCAGCTGGGCTACCATCTCCGTGGTGGGGACTCGGACGAAGCTAGCATGGCGCTCAAGGTTTCTGTCGCCGTGGTTACGACAATTGCTGTTGCAGCGGTACGCGCTGCCCCCAAGCTCGCTGTTGACACGAGGGACCAGGGAGAAGGACGAGAAAACAAACTTGTGGGATGGCATGGGTTGATGATGGGCCTGGGCTGTGCCGGCCATCATCGCTCCCGCAGCCGTTTGTTCGGCAGCATGAGAATGTGATGGCACAGGTCTTGGCTCACACACGTTTGTACTGTGCTTGATGCTTGGCGCTGTGAATGTCCATGAATGATCTCAACAGTATCCCTATTTGGGTGGCATCGTCAACACCAACATGTTGCCATTGCGCGACGACGAGCGGCCCGAGTAAGCCATAGTATCGAATTCTTATCGCGCCCAGTAATTTTTGTAGCACACGGGCATGGGCACAAATTCGGCGCTGTTGCTGCTCCAAGGCAAACGTGGCTTCGGCTTTGCCATAGCTTCTTTCCATACCACCACGCTTCAGACAAATCTGCATGTTACCCCCTACCATTTCAATCAATTGTCACTTGCTGCTGCTGCTGCTGCTGATTATTATTATCAAGCCCGAAGCCTGTACCGCTGGGCTTCACTAGAGCAAGCAATGGTCAATTTGGTAGCGTCCATCTTTTGGCAACCATTGGCACTGCGTGTGTGGATGCGCACCTCCACACCCAGCCCAGCCAACTCCACCGGCGCCCCGGCCACCCACACACACAGAAAGTCTGACAAAACCACAAACCAAAAAATGATGACAATCGTTCTTCGTTCCCACGTGCATGTAACAACCGGTGAGAGGGGATCAGGTACTTTCCATGTTTCCATCTCCAAAGCAAACCAGAGGTACGTAGGCATCAACATCCCATCACTGGTGTCACGCCTTGTTCCCTGGGTAACCAAGATGCCAGTGGGTCTGGTGCTCAAATGGCAGTCAGCGTGTGTGAGGGAGGAGAGGGGAGGAGAGGGGAGAGTAAAAGGGGGGGGGGGGGGGGGAGGGGGGGAGCAATGTTAAGGAGGTTGAGAGCCAGGGAGGTCACATTCGTGGTAAACTTTGACATGCACTTTGTTGCTTGCCTTGGCTCCGCTCTTTGTCGCGCCGGGGGCGGTCCTGGGGACTTGCCCTATCCAAGTCAACGCCGTGATCCATCCCAAAGCCCTGCCTTCCCAGATTTCTTTCTGCCTGAACACATGCACACATACCCTCATCAGGTTGACTCGTTGCTTGCTCTTTTGACAGAAGCAATTTGATCCGACGCAATGGCAGCACGACTTGTGGCTTCGCGCACCGTCACCTCCAAGGTGCTGCGCTCCCCCGCTACCATGACGGCAATCCGCTCCATGGCCTACCAAACCCGTGGTGGTGATACCGATACGGCCAGCACCGCCTTGAAGGTTGCCTGTGGTATTTTTGGCGCCGGTGCCGCTGCCGCGGTACGTCCTTGCTGGGCACACCTCACACACCTCGCAATCATTTTTGCCTTGTCCAAGGTTTCTTGAGGCCATGCGACTTGTCGTTTTCCTGTGTGCGCGCGCACATACAGACACATACAGGCACAAGCATAGACACAGACACACACAGACACACACAGACCCACACACCAAGAAACGAAAGAAAGAGAACACTCATCGAGGGCAAACTCTGGTATAGGTGGTGTCAGATGGCTTCCTCGTCAACAACAACGTGCTGCCCATGGAGGCCCCCGAAGCCCCCGAGGTTGCCACTGCCTCTGCACCCTCAAGTGCCAGCGCTTCAAACGTTGGCACTGCTGCGGCCGACTTTGAGCCTTCCTACGATCAACTCGATATTGCCGAGAACAAGGATGGCTCCATCACCCTCACCTGGAATCAGGATGGCGTCCAGTTTGCTCAGGTGGGTAGAATTGGGTCTTGCTTGACGATTTCACTTTGTGGCTCAATGAGGAGCGATACTTGAATATTCTCCTCCTGTTCATTCCGACTCTTGTCTACTGTGTCCAACCGACACCACCATCGACCTTCATAGGTATTTGATGGCACGGGTGCCACGATTGCTGGCCCGGGTCCCGTCGCCCCTGCCGCAGCTGCCCCCGCCGAGGTTGAAACCTCCTTTGTCGTTGTTGATGAAGCCAAACCCGCTTCAGCTGTGAGTATGCATTGCCACGGCGACAGCCGTCAAATTTTTTTTTTTTGCGCCGCCTTGATCCTTCCACCCTCCCGAGAGCATCTCATGCCCGTGACGGCCTCGATTAGGTTCAGCCCGCCGAGGAGGCGACCTCATCCGCGACCAACGCTGCTGCGGCTGCCAACAACGATGCCAAGCGCATTGCCTTGGAGGACTTGGTTGCTCGACTGGAGGCCATGGAACGCCACTTCCACAGTGAACAGAGCCGCTCCCAGCTCGCTGGTCCTGCGGCTGGCCTGGCCGGCTATCCCAAGTTTGACGAGTCCTCCCACTCCCTTCTCAAGAAGCATCTGACCAAGGACGCCTACCTCCAGTGCGAGACCCGGTTCGTGTCGACGTGTCGACGACCGTGCTTGCACATCTATCGCTCATGCCGCGAGCTCTGCAGCGCCGGTCCATCACCTCATGTTGTCACATTGTATTGGCTTGCAATGCCGGCCATGTCTGTTTTCATCAACAGCGTGACGCCCTCTGGCTTTACTCTGCAGCACGCCATTCAGAGCGGCGTGGACAACCAGGACTCTGGTGTTGGTCTGTATGCTGGTGACGAGGTATGCCACCTGTCCCCCCATCACCGGCTCCTAAAGCTCAAGCGCACGACAAACAGAATCACATCAACCTCCGGCGAGGCGTCACCTCTAAACGTTTCTGGTGGCTTTCATAGGAGTCGTACACTGTCTTTGCACCCGTGTTCGACGCCGTCATCGAGGATTACCACAACGGCTACAAGTAAGCTCGCATGTGCTTCGCTCTCCTTTTTTTTTTTTTTTTTGGCTGGCAGGGACTGCTTTCCTCCTACTTGCTCGCTGATTGCTATTCCTGTCTTGATGCCTTGATGGTTTTTTTTTTTTGATTTTTGGTTTGTTTGACAAAACAAGAAAAGAAAAGAAGCGCAACGTGTTGCTCACGCGGTGTTCACCTTGTCTTGTTCTTGCTCCTTGATTCTTCGGCGTTTAGGCCTACTGACCGTCATGTCTCCGACATGGATGCCAGCAAGCTTCGCGGTGTGCCTGATCCGGAGGGTGACTACGTCATCTCCACTCGCATTCGCGTGGGTCGCAACATCAAGGGTCTGGGTCTGTCTCCCGGAATCTCGCGCGCCAACCGTCGCAAGGTCGAGGAACTTGTGGTCGAGGCGCTGAACCAGCTCGAGGGCGACCTGGCCGGTACCTACTACTCGCTGGGTTCCATGTCCGAGGCCGACCGCAAGCAGCTTGTGGCCGATCACTTTCTCTTCAAGAAGGGCGATCGCTTCCTGCAGTCTGCTGGTGCCAACCGTGACTGGCCTGAGAGCCGTGGTATCTTCCACAACAACGAGAAGACCTTCTTGGTCTGGGTGAACGAGGAGGATCAGATGCGCATCATCTCCATGCAGAAGGGCTCGGATGCCAAGGAGGTGTGTCGTTGTCTTCACACTGCGCTTGGCGAAGTGAAATGACTCTTTTTCACCCTGTCTGGAGCTCGTCTCACTGCATCGTTTCTACTCTCTGAATTGTGTTGTGTTTGCAGATCTTTGAGCGCCTGTCGCGCGGTATCTCTGCGGTTGAGGAGAAGATCAAGGCCGCGGGTTTCGAGTTTGCTCACAACGAGCACTTGGGTTTCATTCACAGCTGCCCCACCAACTGCGGTACGGGCATGCGCGCTTCAGTGCACGTGAAGCTGCCCAAGGTGGGTGCACACCCCGACTTTAAAAAGTGGTGCGAGAAGCTGCGCCTTCAGCCCCGTGGCATCCACGGCGAGCACAGCGAAAGCGATGGTGGCGTGTATGATCTCTCCAACAAGGAGCGTCTTGGCAAGTCTGAGGTGGAGCTGGTGCAGACCATGATCGATGGCGTTCAGGTCCTGATTGCCGCAGAGAAGGCTCTTGTTGCTGGCGAGCCCTTGCCCAAGGAGCTGACCGAGTAAGAAGGTTCATGCAGGTTATTGTCGCATATGGGCACTATGCTGGACTACAGGGGCCCTAGCAGGCCTTGTTTTGCTCTCGCGAGCCCCGTCCCGTAGCCATCCATTGTTGTCCCTCTCGCTCCAAGTTTCCCTTGCTTTTGACTTTCACTTTTTTTTGGCCGCATGCCCAGGTTGGCGTGCGGTGTTCTCTTACCTCAGTATTGAAACCAACATGACTGGCCGCAATTGCACTTCCTTGAGTTTTCACAATCCGCACAAGAAACTGTCAGCTGACAACCAGTTCAAAAAAAGAAAAAGCAAAAAAAAAAAGGAGATATCTTGGGAGAGAGAAAACGTTGGATTGTAAAAACAAAACCAAACACTACGAAGGATGAGTGACGCGAGGCTTTGAGGAGCCTCGTGCGCGCGCAGATCGGGGCCCTACGGCGGTACCAAAACACGTCACAAGGAATAGAACAAAAAAAACAAACAAACAAAAAAAAATTAAAAAAAAAAAAAAGGACCACGAATGCGCGACAAAGGGTTGCAATTATTCAGCTTCGATCAAAGAGCATGGATGGCGCGACGGACCAGCCGTCACGTGCGCTATCGGCCTAGCTCGGCAATGACCATGGCGCACAACTCAAAGAACTCGAGCGTATGAAAGCCAACTGTATCAGTCTGCGGTACATCTTCATCCAATGCATGAAGGCGGTCTTGCTCGCTCGTCGCCAGGTTATTGAAATCCAGCAAATATTGCTGATCGTCAGATTGGAAAAGTTGCAAGCTCATCTTCATCTGTATGCACCAAAAGTTTGTCAGAGGAGGGTGCGTGGATCGCCCAAGTCTGGCCACAGCCTGAAAGCTATCAGAGCTATCATGCCACAATGTTACAATGCACGGTATTTGCTTCTTACCATGGTTCCGCTGACTTGGTTCCAGCAACGGCAACGCAAGTGGTACGGTGTGATGACCTTCCATTGCTGCACCAAGTCACGAGAACAAGCGTGGGCTCAAATGAGGGAGGTGACACGTGACCGCTCAACGCATAGCGCGGTGTCATGGCATTGCGGTAGACTAGGAAAAAGACAGGGGGAGGGGGCGGCCCTGAACAAGAGGTTGGCTCGCGCCAGCTCACCAAGTTGAGCGCTTCAAGCGAGCGATAGACTTCACCCATGATCTCGGCAGGTCGATTGCGTGAACGCATGCCTGGGAGTGTGTTTGTTGATGAGGATATGCATTCTAGATATCACAAGCCTGAGCAAGCTAGAGGCAAACTAGGCGGGCGGATACAAACCGAGATGCCACCGCGATCGTTTGACAATTTTGCGACCAGCCCAGGCGTGGCCAGACGGCATGGGGACGATAAGGCTTTTTTTACGCTCGCGGACCATAATTGGGTGCGAAGGGTCTGCACAAGGCATGGTGAGATGGTTAACCACAATGGCGGGGGCTTTGCGAGCAAAACACGCAGCAGGTAGGTCCGGCGTGTGACAGACGAAGATCCAGCACGTCGCACTAACCGGTGAGCGGGACGGTGCGGTCAACACTGGCATCGAAGACAGCAGCTGAAGCATCGACTTCATCGCGGGTTTCCTCAACTAATGGAAGCATGACACAGGAGTATTTGACAAGTTGGTGAACAACACGTCCTTTTGGCTAGACAGTCGTCGCGACAAATGATGGCAGCAGCATGTGTTTCGATACGAACCGTGGCGGCGATTGTTGTCGGCAATGAGTTTATAAGCAATGACAAGCTGATTGCTGGGGTCATTGCTGTGGAGGGCGTCCAACACGTGGTCCTCATAGACGCGAAAGCGCTGTCGACAAACAACCACCCGTCAGTCCATGAATCTGGCTCTTGGCTCACGGCTGGTCCCTGGCTCACGCAGAGAGGGCCACAAAAGCGTAGCGGTGCAGGGCATGCATTACCTTGCAAATTTCCTCGACGATACCCTTGTCAAAGCTCGACTCATCAATGTTGCAATGCTCGAAGAGCTTGGGCGGTAAATCGATGAGGAACCAGGGGTGCTCGCTGCGATATTCGAAATCGGTGGTCAAGTCAGACGTCAGTTGGAGCAACAGTCTGAGCCTTGTGTACGACGAAGGCGGTGCTTTGACCGGGGGTGAGCGGTCATGTAGACGGATGGGAGACTCACCGGATCTTGTCGATGGTAATGCGCTTGATGGGATCAACATTGAGCATCTGAGTGACAAGATCACGGGCCCCTTCGGACATGTGGGAGGGAATTTGAAAGACGCCCTTGCGGATTTTGCGAAAAAGAGTCGGTAGGTGATCATCATCAAAAGGCAGCTGCGATGGCAAGGACGGATGCGGCTTGTGAGCTTGGTGCGAGCTCATCTGTACTGACACGACAGTTGCCAGTTGAGGAGCAGCAGGTCTACATGTCTGTGTGTGAGGGCGACCTACCTTGCCACAGATCAAGACATAAAGAATGACACCACAGCTCCTATGTGAAGGGACCGTTGCCTTGTCAGGTGACGGTGCGGCGAGGCACACAGAGTGCAAGAAAACGAGCAAGTTGGGTTCACGAGGGATGGCACCGACCAGACATCCACTTCTGGACCGGCATAGAGCAGGCCGGAGATGACCTGTGGTGATGCATAGTTGGGGCTACCTGTGGAACGCGCACGTGTGGTTCAAGGGCGACAGGCATGAGCGCAGCGAATGAGTGAAGCGGTTGGCGGGGGTGGGGAGAGAGAGAGAGAGAGAGAGAGAGAGAGAGAGAGAGAGAGAGAGAGAGAGAGAGAGAGAGAGAGAGAGAGAGAGAGAGAGAGAGAGAGAGAGAGAGAGAGAGAGAGAGAGAGTGTGTGTGTGTGTGAAGAGAAGGAGAAACAAAACAACAAGAAAAGAGGACGAAAGAAGGAAGCGGGGGAGCTGCGGGCAGAAGACAAGGAGGGAGTGGGGCAAGGGTCATACCACATGATGTGCGCAGGAATTCGCCGTCAGTCATCACATTGGAAAGACCAAAGTCAGCAATCTTGACATTGAGGTTCTCATCGAGCAAGAGGTTTTCTGGCTTGAGATCGCTGCGGAGGCATGCGCAGTCATAGGGTGATAGGGGTATGTGTGAGGGTAGGTCATGCCATGCCAGGATACAGACTACTGCTACAGAATGGCTTCACGCACCGGTGCACGACCATGTGGCGGTGACAATAGTCAACACCGGAAATGATCTGTTGGAAGAAGCGCCGAGCTTCATCTTCGGGCAGCTAAAGAAGCAGCGATGCAGATGCAACAACGCATGGGCTACATGGCCACCGTGTACATAATGGCGGGCAGTGGCAGCACATGTGGAGGCATCACTGACCAAGCGGCGGCGCAGGATGTAGTTGAACAGTTCGCCTCCCGAAACATGCTCCATAATCATGAAAATGTCGCTGGGCGATGTGACCACTTGATAGCTGTGCATATGGCGGTCGATGAGAGGCTGTGGTAGGCATGGAGACACGTTGACATGTAGGGGAGAGGGGTTGGTGTGCAGTACGTACAGGCGGATAATGTGGGGATGGCGGAAGAGCTTGAGGATTTGGATTTCGCGCTTAATCTTGTCAAGCATGTCCTGGCTCTTAACTTTGTCGCGGTTGATGATTTTGATGGCCACGACGTGACCTGTGATGGCATGCTCGGCACCTGCACACGCCAATGAGGCGGGGCATCCGATTCATGCAAACGAGACGCAGGGAGACAGCGTGAGCACGTGAAAGCCTGGTCCTTTATTCAAGGGGTTGGTTTTTTTTGGCAGAGTACAGATGGCTCTTGTTGGGAAGGGGCTGGGTGCTGCATCTGCGGGCTGTTTGCTTGCCACTCACGTTTGACTTTGCCAAAGCTGCCCTTGCCAATGGTGCTCCCAAGCACATATTGGCCGATGCGGGTGACACCGGTTCCACTCATGTCTGGTGGTGATGAAGCTCTCAAAAGAGCAGCGGCGGCTGGCTACTGCTTGCCTGCGAGAGCAAGGCGAAAGAAGAGAGAGAGAGAAAGAACAGGAGGCAGTGGCATCATGGGTCTAAGTGTCTTCGCAATGGCGTCGAAATGGATGGGTATGGTGCTGGTGCTTGGTGCGCTGATCAAGGGCGTGGAGCAGATGCCACGCCAGGCGGTGGCTGGCAAGTGGCAAGACCACCGGCTCCAATCAACCCGAAAAGGCGTGGGAAGCGACGCACCTGCAGACGGCAAAAAGCTGCCAATGATCTCAACCCGAATGCTCGTGGCCGACCCAGACGGGCCACCAATGGCCAAAGCGTAGCCAAGCTCCACAGGCAGACCAAAGATGTTGGTCTGATCGTTCGACACCGATGAGCTTGAAGCAGGGTGCTTGCTTTAAAAAAAAAAGGAAAAAAACCCAAGCCGGCAAGCCGCCAGTGCAGCCAAGGAAATGAACCAGTGTCGTACGTTTCGGGAAAAAGAGGATAGCATTCAAAATTGCATTCACTTCTTCTCTGCAGAGTACTACGTTACGTGTCTCCTCTGCAAGCAAGTGTTGTTGTTTGGAACATGGCGCTACAGGAAATCGGTGTCATTTCCCGCGTCGTGCTACCAAATGTTTCTGCTCCCCCAAGCCAAGCATCACTGTGGAGGAGGATGGGATCACCCAGCACACGCAACCCCCGCTGAGGACGACTCGTTGGGTGTGGACAACACCAGTTTTGCGTTGATTTCGTAATCCAATGCGGTGTGTGGCGATGAGCGAGGCTGGAAAGGGCGGCGTCGATCAAGGAGGGGCGCGCGGTGGGTGTGATGAGGCACAGCCCAATACATCTGGATGTATGCCAGCGAGCAGCGGTGTCTCTGCCCTGGTCTACAAACCCGCCGCTGCCTGAGACAAGCGAAGGAGGGTGAAGCAGCTGCACTGGTTCCCAAAGCCCAAAGTCAAAACAAGACCCATCAGTCCAACACACGTAAAAAGAAACCAAAACACATGACAACCCCTTATCCAAAGCTGTCAATCGTGCAGATTGCACAGCAAGTCGCCTTGATCATCTCCTTTACAGTCACACACCCGACGCCCCCTTTGGCCTTCTATTGTATAGTGGCTTTGTTGTTGTACATGAGTTGATCTCTGTCTCTCCCTTTGTTCTTACTTTGTGTGTCTCTCTCCGTCTCTCTCTGTCTCTGGCTCTCTTTGACGCGCGAGCGGAGGCGCGCGCTCTTGTTCTCTCTCTCCTCTCTCTCTGTCTCTCGGTCTCACGCGCTTCACGCGCTCACACACACTTTCCTGGTGCGCGCGCTGAACAGGTCCTTTTTTTTTTTTCTTTTTTTCTTCTTCTGATCGGCTCATCAAACTGCCCCTCGGCACCGGACGAGTCGGACTTGTCTTTGTGGGCTACTTCTTCTTCTTCTACTTTTTTTTTCTTTTCAGCAGTGTCCTGCTTCCTTGGCGTTGAGCGATCTCGACCCCTGTCAATCGCTGCCACAGCACACTCAGCACGACGCAGAGCACCCGGCACCTGGCACACGCCCAATCATTTGGAACACCTTGGTGTCGCTGTAGACCGAGCAGTGATTCACTTCCTTTGGCGCCATGGCATCCGGTGGCACCGCCTTCCGGGCGAGCCTGTTTGAGGCCCAGGCCACCCCAACTAAGCGCAATTTTACCATCCCCAGCGCCAAGCCTGCGACCAGCATCTTCAACACGACCCCCGCAGCTACCCCGGCCAGTACCGCCAAAGCCCCTGCGTCAAGTTCTGGCCCAGCAGTGTCTGCTGATCCGCCACCCAAGCCGCGCTTTGACTCGGATGACGGGTCTTCGTCAGGCGAAGAAATCCCCACACACAAGCATGGTCGCCCTATCAACGAAGCCGAGCGTATGATTCTCGCCAAGCAAAAAGAGGATCGTCAGGCCGCCCGTCGAAAGCGTCGCCAAGAGCGCGCCGCCCAACAGCGCCAGAACCAGGCCCAAGCCCAAGCTCAGACCGAGGCTACCAAGGGCACCAATGATGCTCCTCACACTCCCTCCCTGCGTGAGCGCATGGCCTCTTTTGGCACCCTCGGCGGTTTCAAGTCACCGGCCGCCGCCGGTTCAGGTGGTTTTAGCGCCGCTCCAACTCCGGCCCGCTCCACGCCCGCTGCAAGCTTTAGCATCTCTTCGCCCCTCAAGTCGGCCAACACCACCAGCGCCAACACCGACACCAGCGCCAACACCGACACCGTCTCCAGTACCAACAACGTGACCACGGCGACCTCAGTTAGCGTGGCCTCCACTCCTGTCAAGGCAGCTCAACCCGAGATTGTCAAGGCAACCCCAGCGGGTAGTCGCGTGGTTGCGGGCAATCAAGCCTCCTTCTCTGCCTTACCTCGCTCTAGCACCGTCTCCTTTGGGACTGCCTCTCCAGCTCGAGGTGGCTTCTCCCTGAGCACAGCCAATACGCAGGCCACTACCAACACGACGGAGGAGCGCAGCCATCCCAGCGGTGCCAGCAGCACCCCCGCCTCCCTCGCCGCCTCGACATCTGCGCCACCTCGTGCAGGCTCCCCCCCGGCGACCGAGCCAGTGAAAAATAACTTGAATGTCGCTGTGACACCAACGCCATCATACGGCGTGCAGCGCTCACACACCGTCTCTAGCCGCCCCACGTCGGCCGCGGCATCGGCGGCGCAGGCCAAGTTTGCACCCGGCAGCAACAAATGCCTCGTTTGCACACGCCCCGTCTACGCCATGGAAAAGGTCGAGGCTGACGGCATGCTCTTTCACAAGTGGTGCTTCCGGTGTGCCGAGTGCAACTGCAAGGTGAACACGGGCAACTACGCCGCTCTAGAAGGCAAAATCTACTGCAAGGCTCACTTCAAACAGCTTTTCAAGCTTCGTGGCCGCTACACCTTTGAGGAGGGACGCCCCGACGTGAGCGTCTAAGTGCTCGGCCGGCTTTGCGCTCTGTTTCTATTGACGGAGCTCGTCTGCTTTGCCCTCCTTCCCACCCATTTGTGATTGTTCTCGTGCTCTCGTACCGTTGGACATGTTTGGTCAGATCTGGCTCTTTTTGTACTTTTTTTCTTCTTGTTTTCCGTACTCTATCTTCATGTTGATTGACTCTTGCGGCGACAAACGCGTACATGCGTCCTTGTGTACTTTTTGACATTGCCCGCTCTCCTTTCCTGTTTCATGTCCTTGTCTTTATTTCTTCCCCCTCTCCTCTTTTGCTGTCGTCGACATGCATTTGTGACAAAGCATTGTCAGTCGCACCGATCGACCCTCTGGCGAGTGATTGATTGATGTTTCTTGTGTGCATGTGTTTTGTTCTGGCTTAGACTCGTCTTGCCTAGCCGATTGTTTGGGGATTTCCTTACAGCTCGGGGCAGGAAACTAGAACACTCACCTTGTGCAGTGTCCTGTTCCTTTTTTTTTTTAAATCCGAGAGCTGACCAATGTGAGTTTATTGCGTTGCCTTTGTGACTCTGTCCATAGCTTCTTGCAGGCTTTGCTCTCGGATTGGGATCATCACGTCACGGCATTGGGGCCCCGAGCTAGTGCACCAGAATTAATAGAATTGTCTCTTTTCGACTCGATGCCATCATCATTTCCGGTGTCAATTTTTTTTTCTATTTTGGGGTTGTCCAAGTCCCCGGTACCCACGTTAAGACTGTTCTGGCAGTGAAACCAATCATGTGGCCGTGACCCCAAGAGCTGAAGGAATGAACACAGACATTCCGAGGCTTTGCTACAAGACAAGAAAAGTAAAACAAGCAGCGGGGATTGCCATGCTCGCACGCTGCGTCGCGAGAGCATACAATCCAAATCGCCCCGCGCGTGGCGCGGCAGAGTACAGCCCATGGAAGACAAGTGAAGAAAAGGAAAGAAACCCAGCCGGCAACAATCGTGCCCGGGTCCGCACGCTGACACAAGGTGATGAGTCAGGGGGTCAAAAAGCGTGTCAACCAGAAATGGTGGACGCACATCCCCCCCCCCCCAATCAGCAAGCACGTAGGGGCGCAGCATTGATGCCGCTTGGCATGTTGGTTTGGGGCGCACGGCAATCATACAAGGAGAGGTGCGGTCCGAAATGGAAAAAAAAAAAAAGAAGGCGCAACAGGGCAAAGTAGAAGCAAGCGGAACAGGCAATCGACTAGAAGGGCCAAGGAGGGGCACGATGGGGACAGCAGCAGCAGCAGCAATGGTAGCAGCGGCGATTCACAAGGTGACTAGCTAAATCACTCTTCAGCTGCCATGGGGTTGCGGAGGACGAGAATAACGGTATCACCGCGCAAGAACATCTTGCTGATAAAACGGTCCTTGTTGATGGGCTTTTTCTTCTTCTGGCCCTTGCCAGCCTTGGGGGTCTCGGTCCACATCTCCTTGACCTGTTCGAGGACCATGTTGCAGTGGCGATCAAAGGCCTTGACACGCGCCAGCAGCTTCTTGTTGTTGCGGCAGAAGATGAGCACTTGTGTGTTGCTCTTCACGCTCTGTGTGAGGACGGACATGGGACCCGACTCAAACTCTTGCTGCTCAATCTTCTCAAGCTCTTCCTGAGGCATTTCGCCGCGAGCAACTTCCGTAGCCCTGCAAAGCAGTGAGCACATGAGGTCCCGCCACCATGAGCAAACCGGCGCAAAGTTGAGGCGATAAGGCCCGAAGGCGGCCGCTCACTCCAGGGCAGGAACAGAGCCAACTCACATGATGGTGGTCGTCGTAGGTGGGTATGCTGCGAGGAATTACAAAGACAAGCTGGTCACCTAATGAGGTCTAGATGCTCTGGCACAACACTGCCCGTTCACCGCGCTGCTGGTCTCGGAATTGACTCGATCGAGCTCTGAGAGAGAGTGAGAGTTTGAGAGACAGAGAGAGAGAGACAGACAAAAGAAGAGAGAGAGAGAGACGAGAGAGAGAGAGAGAGACGAGAGAGAGAGAGACGAGAGACGAGAGAGAGATCGTTGGTAGTCGTTTGATCGCGGGTCAGGATGATTTGACAATCATTTGACTCTGAAAAACCTGTCCAAAGTATGTTGATTATCAAACAGTTTGCTTCCCGCCAACTCTCGAAACCCACACAACAAGTGTACAAAACATCACACGTATGCTTTTGAAAAGTGTAACAAAAACGACTCTAAACATCCGTTTACCACGCGCTCATTGGCTTGTTTCCCGCCAAAACTTGGTCAAACGCGCGTAAACTGATAATAGTCAAACCTGGCTAAAGTTGTCAGTGAGTTCAGGTTCGGCACAATCGGTCGCGGCCCCTCGGGATTTTGGTCGATCCCGCGCGCGGGCTTTCTGACGCACATTCGGCACGTCACCACATCACATCTCTGAGTGGCCCCGTCTCGGCTGCATTTCTCCTGTCCCGCGCGCCTGCTTCTCTTGCCGTGAAAAAAAGCATTTGCATCTCCCTACAAAGCATTTGAAACAACATCAACAACAACTTCTACTCAAGCACTTTCTCCTTTCGCGCTCTTGGCGCTCTTGATCTCGCTCTCTCACTCTCTCTCTCACTTCTCTCTGAATTATTCGACAAGGCTTGCGTGCCGGCGCCAGTGAAGCAGGGGGACATCTCGTTTACATGAGGGCCGGCCTTTTCAAGCGCCTGATGTGTGTGAGCGAGAGGCGTTGTGTTGCGTTTGTCATCTGACTTCAAAAGGAGCGTGAGCCAAGGCGCGCCCACCCTCGCAGTTTTGTCAGTTCGGCACCCCTCCCCGCCCACGCATCACCCTTGCAGTTACCTCCGCCATCGTTTCGGTGACTCGATCACACGTGCGACCGCCTCATCGTTGCTTCTCACGCACACGCACCGCCAGCCATGGCGACGTCGATGAGGTCTGTGTTGCCTTTTGCACTGTTTGGGGCGAAAGACCATACAAGCAGCTGATGGCCAGAATGCTGCCTGTGCACCTCAACCCCGTTCGCCCCTTTCATAGTAATGGCTCACCAAACACCAAGCGCAAGAAGGTGGATCGCTCCTCCCGTGGGCTCAAACACTTTGCCACCATGGTCTGTGCAAAAGTGCAGGAGAAAAACGTCACGACCTACAGTGAGGTGAGCCCACGCGGTGGTCGGGGCTTGCCCTTGCCTTGCCTGCCTCCGCCGGGCCTCACGGCGCCCACCTCAACATCCCATCACTCTTAGGTGGCAGATGAACTCGTGGTTCAGCACCAACGCGAATTGCAGAGTAACCCAGATCCCAATGATGACGGCGAGCCGAAGAACATCCGCCGGCGCGTCTACGATGCCCTCAACGTATTGATGGCGCTCAACATCATCTCCAAGGATAAAAAGTGCATTCGCTGGGAAGGGCTGCCGACCAATGTCACCCAAGAAGCGCGCACATACGCGGCTACCAAGCGTAAGAAGGAGGAGCAAGTCCAGAAGTTGAAGAAACAACTCCAGGCGCTTGTCCTTCAGGTAAAACACGCGCTCATATGTTCCGGAGTAATTTACCAGGGCACCCTGTTTGTGATGTTCATCCGGCACCAAGGGCCAATCTGTGGGAGCGTTGCTTGCTCCACCACACACACCTGATTTGATGACACTGTCTGCGCTCTTTAGCACATTGCCTTTCAAAATCTGATCAAAAGGAACCAGGCCAGGATGCAGGAGAATCCATCGACCGAGGAGCACGACAGTATACAGTTACCCTTTGTCATAGTGAGCACCCGGCAGTCTGCTGTCATTGATTGCCAAATGGCCGCCGATCAGTACGTTTTGTGTGACATCTTCTCTCCTCCTCGTCCCGCTTGCTCAGCCGCCTTTGCCCGCCCCCCTCCCCATCCGTTATCGACCGGTGAGAATCATGCCTCTTGCGCGCTAGCCTGACCCATCGATTCTTTTGTGGTCCGCACACCTCCTGGAACTTTTGTCAATGCACCTTCAGGAGCGAATACTTTTTTGATTTCAACGAGCCCTTTGTTATCCATGACGATTTGCAAGTCCTTAGCCAGCTAGGCCTCACATTCGGCCTCGAGACTGGAGCCATCAGCGATGAGCAAGTGGCACTGGCGCGGGACTTGTTGCCCGCTGAAATGGGCCACATTTTGGACGAAATGGTACAAGAAGGTCGTGCCCGGGCACCCCAAGCACCAGCCACAGCTGCTGCGCCAGCACCTGCCGCCACTGCGTCCACCGCGGCCACCGCAGCCACCGCGTCAGCGACAGCATCCATCGGCACGGTTTCGCAAAGTGCAACTGCAGCCGCGAGCAATAAAACGGCGGCGGCGGCTCGCTCCGCCCCGACATCCTCCTCCTAAAGGGTGCCACGTGTGTGTTAATCTTCTTGTCCTTGGTTCGCATCATTATCTGTGCAACCTTATCATGTGCCCCTTGACTTGTCACACATGCAAGATGTGTTATTGTTTGTTGGGTGAACTGTCGTGGCAACTTTTTCGCTCAGCACATGCCCATGTTCCGCTACACCTGCGCAGCGCGCAGAGCGGGCTCATGATGCCACTTTGCCTTGTTGTCTGTCCGTTAGTCTGTTTCTACTTTGCTTGGTGAGCATACTCCAAGTGGCATACCCCTTCTTCTGATTGTTTTTCTGGCGTTCTTTCATGAATTTGTGTTTTTGGTTCTTGTCGCCGCCTCCCCCGGACTTGCGGTTGCAGGCGAGCTCGCGCACTATAGTGTGGTCATAGAAATTTGATTCAAAACTGAAGCGGCCCTCCAATGCAGATGAGATTATAATCTTTTGCTGTCGATTGTGGGTGTGGGAATGGGGGAAATTCAAAGGCAGTCGCGAAGAGCTTGATCCTGTTGATGGACCAAGTGCAAAGAGCTCTAAAGGAGGAGAGACAGCAATGCCTCTGGTCGAGAAGGTCGCTGAAAAATAGAGAAGTAGATGGTCTTGTGTGCATGTTTACGCAAACTCGTGCTTGTTGGCTTGTTATATGCCTCGAGCGCTTTCATTGTTGCTTGCTGTTCAAAAACGCATTCCAGGTGCCCTGGATGCTGGGTCGGCGCGTTTTGGTCCAGTGACTGTCCTTGACGGCCTTGAAGCCTTCCTCAGCCTGAAGTCGGCTCATCAGCCCATCGATCTCCACTGTCGACATGTTTTTGACGCAGAACTTGCGGGTACGACCATTCACTACGGACAGACAGCACGTGAGACGGAGCAAAGCCGGGCTACCGCCGCGTTCAGCAAGGGGTGGCTTCGCTGCCACATACAAAAGTGACCCTCCAGGTAGGGGTGGCGGCCCCCGTTGTGCTCGACGCGAAACACAGTCCAAGGTGCCTCCTCTGCCACAGAGGGCAGCACGCTTTGAATATATTCCCTGCGAGAGCACCCAACCACAGCGAGCTTAATTTCGCGCACAGCCCACACGTAAAGTCAAGCGGAGGGAAAAACGCTTGAGCATCTGCACAAATCTGACCGCATGCCCTTGGAGCTGTCACCGCCTTTGCAATAGCTCGCGCGCAGCAAACGCAGCTGGGGAACGAAGCGCGCAAATCGCGTTGAAGCCATTTTGTGCCGTGCTCTGTGTATGTGTGTGTGTGTGTGTGTGTCAAGGCGAGCGAGGGTCGACTCGACGTCGCGCTCAGCACTAGCAATTAATGCTAATCGTGGTTCACGCAGCCAGCTGCACTCGCCCACGCACAAGGCGTCGCTGAAGACCAATGGCACTTCTACTGCAACTCTCCTGGCGGCAACCTCTGGCTCGTGGTCGATGGGCATCAAAAAATGAGAGAGAGAGATTGAGAGAGAGAGAGAGTCTGAGAGAGAGATTGAGAGAGAGAGTTTGAGAGAAGAGAGTTTGAGAGAGAGTTTGAGAGAGAGAGTTTGAGAGAGAGAGAGAGAGCGCCAAAGGCGCCACGCGTTGTGATAGTGTGGCATTTATCACACTATCTCTTGCCGATCACTTTTTCAACTTCAGCGCTCTCTCTCTCTCTTTCTGGTTGCTGCGCGGATTTGAGGCGACGACCTCTGGGCACGCGTTGCAAGCCGGCAGGGCGGATGCAGAGGGGACGGGTGCATGTGTGATTGATTTGAGCGTGACGGTGCCTTTTGACACTGACATGTGGGGGCCCTTGATCTACGCCCTTTTGGGCCTTGCGATCGTTGCTGCTGCCTTCCTTTTCGTCCGTCGCTCACAGGCCAAGGAGGTCGTGCCAGTTGCCGGTGTGTTTTTGAGCGTTTCCGTCGCGCCCTCGATGCGCTGCGATCAGGCACGGTTGCATGGACCAATTTCTTCACTCGTGGCATGGCATTTTAGATGATGATGACAAGGAGAATGGCGCAGCAGCTGGTGGGCGCCGGCCTGGTGGTCTTCGCCGCCGCACACCGCGCCGGCCACCGCACGGTAATTTGGTCGTAGATGAGGTCAACCCCCGTCAGGCCGGAGACCAGGGCCACACGGATGATGAAGACGGCGAGGAAGGCAACGAAGGATGTGAGTCGCCCTGATAGCCCCGTTGTGGTTGTCAGTGTCTCTTTGTTCGAGAAAACCAAACCAACATTATGCCTGCCTTCTCGCACAGTGAAAAACTTCATGTATGATGAGAATGGCAAGAAGCTGGGTGTCAAGAAGGCGCGCAAGCTGCAAGAAAAGGAGGAGCGTCGTCGTCGCAATGAAGTGCGGTTCCCAATTGTCGCTCCAACACACGTATAAAATCTTGGCCCTGCATCATCCGTCAATTTGCCGCCATTTGCGCGCACTGCTATGCAGGAAATGGCACAAGCGCGCGAGCAAGCGAAGCTCTTGCAGCATCAAGAGGAGGAGGAGCGCAAAGAACGCGAAGCCGAAGAGGCTGAAGATGAACGGTGGGTTGCCATCAGCTGCTGTATTCACGACGACAGGGTTTGGGCAGCTATAGCAATGTGTTTCTCATTTCTTTCTCGCTGCTCGTTCCGGATCACACCTTGACAATACGATCTGCACGCTCAGCCAACGTGAGGCCGAGTTGGAACGCGAGCGTGAGGCACAGCGTCAAAAAGAACTTGAGGAATACAATAGTCTCAAATCCATGTTTGTGGTTGAGGAGAGTGGCGAGTTGGACGTTGATCACGAAGCCCAGGTGCCTTCATCCCGCCCATCTTGCCCATCCCTGCGCGCATTGCATTGCATGCCGTTCTCAATAGATGGTTGTCCACACTCTCTTACCCGATGACGTGTACGCGATGGCGATGGCGCTTCGATCCCACCTTTTTTTTTAAAAAATTCTTTTTTTAGGCACAATCCCTTCTCAATGAGTTTGTCTCCTTTATCAAAGAAAAGAAGGTGGTACAACTTGAGGACCTCGCCGCACACTTTGGTCTCAAGACGCAGGACACGATCGAACGGATACAGCAACTAGAGGCGGAGGGTCGCTTGACTGGCTTGACCGACGACCGAGGCAAATACATCTTCATCTCAGAGGAGGTTTGTGGGTTGAAATGTTCTGCTGCTGTCCTGTAGAGCGGTTGCCGCGTTACTGCCGCGGCCTACTGATGGGACAATTTCTTCGTGTTCAGGAACTGAGTGAAGTTGTCAAGTTTATTGAGCGACGTGGGCGCATCACCATTGCCGAGTTGATGGACAACAGCAACCGGCTCATCTCTTTGTCGGAAACGGATGTTGAATTTCCTGGTGACGAGCCGGCTCCAGCTGATGTCGACGAAACGACAACAGCCTAAGGTGAGCTCAAAAGTGTCAGAAAGGTGCCCTGGGTGACTATGGTTCAATTGGACGAGAGATCTTTCATAACACCACCAAAATTACCAAAATTACTGACAAACGACCGAGGCGAACATCACACCTCCACCCACACCCACAGACACAGACACACCTACACCCGCACACAAGAGATACAGTACAAAAATGTCGATGCCCACGAGGGCCTTGTGCGTGCGACCTTCACTTTGACCAGATTGTGTGGAGGCCGTATGGAAGCCGTATGGAGACCGTATGGAGGCCATCAACCGACTAATGGGTCATCGCGCGTTGCCATGGCTTGAAGCAGTCGCGTGCGCAAAATATCCTAAATAAAGACCATGACCATGTACCATGGCACAGTGAGCTTGAGAACAACAGGAACAACATGGGAGCCAATCCCAGACAAAACCCATTGAAATGGACAAGCCTGCGCGGTGAGAGGGTGCAAGTGGGCCAAGTCGAACCTTAGAAGAGTAGCGGGGTAATTTGAGCATGAACATGCACGTCTCAGCACGAATCCAGCGCTGATCAGCATTGGCCTGGCTCTCATCGGGGTCAGGCTGAGCGATTTTCATGGGCAGCGGTGGTTGGTGCACATCCGTTCCACTGTCGGCTGGCAATCGCTCTTGGTTTGCAGCAAATTTGACAAATTTGCGCAATTCCTCCTGCGAAAATTCAGCAAGCACCGCCCAAAACGCCTCGACATGGGCATCATTGGGCGTCAAACCGGATGCATAGGTAGTATGCTGTCGCAGATATGCAAGGTCAATGTGTGGGTAACCACACACCATGCGTTCCAAACCCTATGGCCATGGCGAGGATCAAGTGAGCAGGAACAAGTGGGCGGGGAGCAAAAAGTAAAAAGTTGGAAAAGAGACGATACACCACCAACAGCAGCAACAGCGACAACGACAACGACAGCGACAGCGACAATGACAACGACAACCACACAAAAACGATCGACTTGCCGGTGCGGAGGCGACAGCGAGGAGCTCGAGTGGCAAAATTGAGCGAAAGCCCTTGCGCATAGCCTCAAAGGCAGGCGGATTGCTCAGCTCAAGCAACCGTTGATGAGTCGCTGCTTTGATGTAGGCGTGGCGGTCGGCAAAGCGCAGCAGTGCATGGGGTCCGTCTGAGGCACCCGCCGGTCGTGGTACGGCACGCTCTTCGCCCAGTAGGGTGTGCATGCTGTACGTCAAGCCGTGTTGCAAAACATACTCGTCAAACTCATCCTCGTCACCCAAGCGCTTCAATTCCTGCAAGCGTGTGTCTAACAAAAAGTCACAGTCAGCGAGGTCGGAGCTGCTGAGAGGACAACCAGCCAAGCACTTCCAGAAGCTGGGCAAGATGTCCAACGGTAATGGAACGTCAGATCGAATGGCCAATGCAAACAGCGTGCCAAGAAACTCATATTGCTTGTAGACTGCAAAGTCAAAGCGGGCGGGGTTGATGATCCATTTGCCTTTGTTGCGTCCGTAGGCACCTGCTGGAGCCTTGATGAGCAAGCTCAACTGCGCGCCATGCAAGTCATTGGCCATACGTTGCATAAACTCGCGAAAACTGCCGCTGTTGCCGGCCACCCGCTCGCCTGTGAACTTGATCAGCAGCGGGTAGATGGGATCACCACCAGCTGCTTTCTTGACCCGCATCAAGCCCGGTTCCATGGCAGCAACCTGCCCGGCAGCTTGCCAGAACTGCGTCTCAGCGTATTTGGCCCGACCCACGATGGAGTCCGTCACGCCACCGCCCTGAGTTGATGCTCCATGGTGCGTTTGTCGTCCACCGGGTCCGTGAAAAGTTGGCGCTGCTGCAGGATCAGCCAAAGCCTCGTTGCCTTCTTCGTTCGGAATCATGGGACCGGCAACCTCATCTCCTGCAGCAGCTTCGCTGACGCCATCGTTCGCGTCGACTTGCTGCAGTGTTGTCCCGCGCGCAGCACTGGGGGTTGCATCCTCATCTGTCGGCCCGCCTGTACCTGCTGCAAAGTTGACACCCTCTAGCGCATCCAAGACGAGTTCCGGCCCCTTGGGGTCTACGCGCTCCGAGGTATCGTTGACCAAGGCCTGAGCAAATTGTTGCTGAGTCGCGTAGAACAGTGCATGCCGAGCTCCGCTCACGCGCGCACACAAACTACCTGGGAGACACGGCTGACGCAGGTCAATCAAGGGTAAGGATTTGGCCAAACGGGTGTTGAGAATGCGCAGCAGCGCAAAACGCAGTCGAATCTGAGCATCCGTGAAGCACGAGAGATCTGCGTAGGCGCGGTCGGTACGCGCTACTGCAGTCAGTTTGATATCCTGCAACGCGAGATCACGCGCGGACACATGAAGGCGTGCGGCCAGCGAGTCACCCAAACGAATCACTTGCTCGTCCGCGCGCGGAGTCCAGGGTGTTTGCAGCGTGGACTCGAGTGCGCGAAACCATTGCACCTCGTACAGGGGGCGGAAGTCAAGGTCAAATCCGCAGCGAATCACGGCGCGGGCTACGCGCATCGGGCCGTCCTGAAGCTCCAAAAACACATAGTTGAAGAGGCCATCCAGCGTGAGAACACCATTCTCAGCGTGCATATTCAGTGCGGTCGCAACGTGCTCCGAGTTGGGCTCAATGTGGTTCAAAAGGTGCCGCAACCGATGTGCTGGCTGCACAAGAGAATCAACTAGCGGCCACGGTACGGCACGCAAGACCTCGTCGACCTTGATGGCAACAACAGGAGCGTCTTCCTTGCTCCCAGCATCTGCGGCAACAGAGGTGACTCCTGGGGCCAGGATCTCCTTGAGGCACGTTTGAAGCTCACTGCGCAGACCACTATCGTCCGCAAACTTGCTGGCAACGTGCCCACATACGTGTGACTGAATGGAGGCATTGGTACTTTCGCGTGGGGCCACGTACCACTCAATTGATGCAGTGGCCGGGCCCTGCCCGATTGCGATGCGCTGTGACGGTGCTGCAACGTTGGGGTCCTGCTCATGGTCGGCCTCGTCCTCGTCTCCTTCGCCTTCAGCCGGATCGCCATTTGCGCAGACCAGACCAATGGCGCACCGGCCATTCGTGCCAAGACGTACATCCTCCTTGAGCTGACGAATCCAGACCAAAGCGTGCGATTCATCCTCTAGCTCGAGCAGAAGCACACCATCTGTCACGGTCGCCGTTGCGTCGTCTGCAGCGTCTGTGTTCGAGTGTATCACGCGATATCCGTGCGAAGTGCCCAGTGCTGCTGCCAAATGACGCTGACATTCCAACCGAGTCAAATTGAGGCGCACATCTGCCAAAACCAGCATGCGGCGCAGAGGATCACATCGCTGAGTTTGCTTATGAGCACAGCGCAGAGCTGCCCGAAACGCCGCGTCAGCGGCATCAGTAGCATCGGTGGCTTGAGACAGGGCAAGGTGCTCGCAGAGCAAACCCGTGTCTACCACCGAGCGAAACCAGGCTGGCGCTTCTTTCTCGTTGCGAGGTGTCACGGCTACGTCGCTACCTCCAAACCGCACTGGTGCGGCAACGCGTCGACCCCGTGCAGCCAGCTGTCGGCGCCCACGACGTCGGGGCATGCTAAAGTCAATACGCGCCAGGCGTGGCACCATAGGTGCACCCATCGCATCGGCTTGGGCGGCCACCCTGTCTGCGCTGTCATCGTTGTCATGTTCGGAGTCGCCTTGAGCCGGGTCCTCGCTTGGCGCGCGCAAGGCCGCCAGCACGCTAGCGGCGGCGTCAGAAGGCAGCTCGAGATCAAGACCGTCACCGCCAAAAGCCAGGCTAGGTTCGAATGGAGCAGGGGAAGGGTCCGTCGTGGAGGCTGCACTGGTCAGTGAGGAGTGTTCGGCATCTGAATCGCCTCCAGTGCCCGTGGCAAAGGTCTGGTAGCCGCAAACTTCCTGGAATGCGGCAGCAGCCTCAAGCAATGCCATGAAGAGCGTTGAGAATTGGCAGGCCTGTAGAGTCGGTTGTGGCTCAGCGTGCAGGGCGCTGCAGGCACGCCAGATGCGGTCAAAAGCAGCTCGAAGATCTGCACTCGGCCCTCCACTCTCCTTGAGCGTCGAGTGACTCGCCCGCAACAACTGGGCAGCAGTGTGTAGCAATGTTTCACGCAAAGTTGGGGTCATATCAGGCTGGCTACCAAGCTTGGCGCACGCCTCCAGCAAACGCAAGCGTAGGCCTGAGGCCAAATGCAGGCCACTCATAGCGGCCGAGGCTCGAGCAAGATGATGCTGAATCAGCATCAGTGCCACAGGCCAGTCCTCAGGCACGACCGAGGCTTCCAAGAGCGCGTTGGGGTGCTCGTCTTGTGCGGTTGTACGCACGTGTAGAGTCTTGGAGGAAAACAACAAAGCAGGCACGGGGGATCGCATACTGGCCGCTTGAGTGGGGTAGACGGCGTAGCGCGGGCCCGTGCCCATGGAACCCACGTAGAAGCGGGCCCAGGGGCCATCCTGCGCAGACGGTCCCATAGCACGCACGGCGCCTCCCTTCCAGGCACGCGCCTGCACGACAACGGCAGCCCCTCGATCAAAGGCCACATCGTACTGACGGCGACCAACCTCTACCGGCATGTTGCAGCGTTTGTAAAGACCGGCAGGTTGGAGCAAGGGCCCACAGGCATCGGTCACAAGCTGGTTGAGCGCCGCATTAGAGCTGCAGCGCTGCAGCAGCGCGTGTACCTGGTCCTGCAGGGCCTCGCGAGCATCGGGGTCAAACATGGCCTCGGCCACATGGTGTTGTAGAATGCAAGCTCCAGGCAGGGATGGTCGGATGTGCGACAGCAACAAGAGGCGCAGAAGATCCAGATGGGATACAAGGGTCGTATTCCGAGCCTCGTCATGGTTATGAAGATGCAACACGGCCTCGCGACAGGTGAGTCGGGTCAACTTAGACTCAATGACCAGCAGCTCCCCCTGTGCGTGGGCATCAGCGGTCGGCGCAGCCCGATGATCCATTTCTTCCAACATGTTGAACGGGTACCACCATTGAATGAGCTGCGCATCCATGGCTAGGTACACGTCAACAAGGGCCAGATTGGCGCTCTCGTCCACTGTTACGACGGTTCCAATCTGCCATTCCGTGGCTGCCACCTCCGCAAGCGTGCCCTCGGCATCGTGTCTATCATTGACTTCTAGAATGCGGACACGCATTCCTGGTTTGATCTTGCCTGCCGCCAGACGTGATCCTTGCTCACGCAACTCCTCGGATGAGGGAAAGTGGATGCTGTCTGGTACACCACCGTTTTCTTCATACAAGGTCTCAATGGTCATACGCGCAATGTCTTCCATGCCCATTTCCAAGGCGCCACGAATCTGTTGCAGTCCACTTGTGCGCTCCTGGCTATTTCGAAACCGCGAGCTAATTTGTGGAAACACTTGCGTTTCCCACGCCTTGATGAGCTTGGCCGTCATGTCCTCTTCTTCAACCTCTTCCTCGCCAACACCCAACTGCAGTACATATTCAAGAGCACGAAGACATGGAATGTAGATGAGTTTGAATGCCCCAACCCTTCCTTTCAAAGGGACAAAACAAAACAAACCGAAAGAAGAAGAAGAAGAAGAAGAAGAAGAAGAACAAGAAGAAGAGAGAAGAAGAAGACAGAAGCAGGCGGCAAAAGCAAGAAACAACACAAAAACTTAAAAGAATGAAGAACAGCCCACGATACAGCCACAAGTCAACATGTGGCACTGCATGCTCTTTGACTAGGGATGCACCGGGCACGAACATACCGCTGTTTGGCCAGTCATGGAGCTGTTTGCCTGCACAAGAGCATAGGGCTGATCTCCCGATCCTTTCCAATCATCCGCGTCGATTACGGCTTCAACTTCAGGCACGCGGTGCTTGCTCGCGGGCACCTGCACGTCTTCCTCAGTCTCTGCAAACATGGAAAACGAAAACAGGTTGCTGGGATCTTCAGCGTCATCCTGACTTGACGTTGCGTGGGATTGGGTCCGGTAGTGTCGCGCAGCGTCAAAAACAAAAGGGCTGGAGCCAAAATTGGCCAGAACCTCCATGCGACCGCGACCCATGCGCACCACAGGAAAAGAACTGCGCGGGATTCCTTGTAGCTTGCCCTCCAAGAGTCGGCCGTTGTGAGTGAACTGTAGCGTACCCGAGTCCGCTTGCCAAAAGCAGCCAAGCACATCGCCCGCGCGCAGTCTGAGCTGCTCTGAATGATCCTCACTCGATTCGCTAGAGCGCTGATACTTGACCTGTCCACTCTCGTGGAGGAGGACAGACCCAGCCGGCCACCGCAGGTCGTCGGAGCCTCCATTCGACTCGTTCATACGCGGCGTGAGTCCGAGAGCAAAATCCAAGCCATCCATGTACGCCACCAATCGCACTTCAAAATAAAACCATTCGCAACTGGCGGGGATGTTGTGCGACGCAAGAGCAGTCACTGTGCGGTGCGTCATGGCTTCGCGACGATCCATCAGCGCAAGACCCAAGGACCGCATGCCCAGGTTGTTGGAGCAAAATACCACGCCGTGCATGGGTGGAAACTGCTGAGTTGGCACCCAGCGCAGGCTGGAGACAGTGTGTTCGTCACCACCTGCACTCTTGTTGCGCGGTGCTGGCTTGGACTTTTCGAAAAATGCGGCACGCAGGCGAGCTCCGGTGGACTGCAGCGTATGGACTGGTTCGCCAGCCATTCGCTGGGCCTCACGAGCGA